GCGCGGACTCTCCCCGCCTCCACGGCCGTGCTCTGCCCCGTCCTCACCTCAAAGCTGTTCCCATGGCCATGACGGTCACGGTCAGAGGCTCCCTTCAAGCCGCGAGGGGCAGAGCACACAACACACTCAGGCCGGCGAGCACCACCCACGGAGCAGGTGTGACCATCGGCTGCTGTGGTGTCTCAGGCTCCTTGGAAACAGCGGGGCAGCTGAGCCGCGGGCGTGGCTGCTCTTAGCGACCGCCTGGCCTGGGCTGAGTCCGCTCCTCCTCCTCCCCCAGCGCTGGCCTGAGACCCCGGACAGACGGGCAGCAGGGGAGGCCGGCTCAGGACCTCGCCTTCCTCTAGGACAGTGGTTCTCAACCTTCCTCACGCCGCGACCCTTTCATACAGGTCCTCATGTGGTGGTGACCCCCGACCATAAAATTATGTTCGTGGCTACTTCATCACTGTAATGTTGCTACTGTTATGAATCGTCATGTAAATATCTGATATGCAGGATGGATTTTCATTGTTACAAATTGAACATCATGAAAGCATAGTGATAAATCACAAAAACAATATGTGATTACATGTGTTTTCCGATGGTCTTAGGCGACCCCTGTGAAAGGGTCATTCGACCCCCAAAGGGGTCGCGACCCACAGGTTGAGAACCGCTTCTCTAGGGCCTCGTGCTGCACCCCAACTCCACTGGGAAGCTCTTGGGGGGTGTTGAGGGGACCTGGGCCCCGTACGTCACCACATTCGCCCAGTGCCCGTCTGCCAGGATGCCCGCTCTGCTCTGGGCGGGGCCTTCCCTTCAGTGCAGGGGATTCGCGCACACCGCGCTAGAAACGTACAGAAGTACCCCCTGGACCAGACCCTCCTCCCTCAGAGCCACGGCCTGCTTCCTTCTGTCCTTTTTAATATTCTTAAATTTTTTAAAATATATTTTTATTGATTTCAGAGAGGAAAGGAGATGGGGAGAGAGAGAGAAACGTCAATGATGAGAGGGACTCATGGATCGGCTGCCTCCTGCACACCCCCTACTGAGGATGGAGCCCGCAACCCAGGCCTGTGCCCTGTCTTCCCCGTTCATAGTTTGACGCTCAGCCACGGAGCCACGCCGGCCGGGCTGCCGCTGTCCCTTTTAGAAGGACACCTCTCCGTGTCCATAAATAGCCCGTCTTTCATCTCAGGAATACCTTCCTTAATCATCTTCTTAATTGCAGTGTCGGGTTTCTTTATATAACAACAAAGTCAATATTGTTCCCAGCCTGGATCTGATTCAGGTGGCGGGGGCGGCTCCCTTTCCTGGCAGCCTCGCCATCTGTTGGCATAATTTGGCTCTAATTGGGCTTTTCTCTGGCGGCGGACTCTCAGCCCCGCGCGGGTTGCGGCCACGGTCTCTCCGTGCTCCCTCCGATGCCGGAGCTTCTCTGAGAACGTCAGCCGGCAGCGCCGTCTCGCCCAGGCGCAGAGCATCCTTTATAACGTCCTCTCCGTCCCTTTTATAAAAGCCTCCGTGTCCGCCTCCTTTCAGCAGTGCTGGTGCCTCCGTGGCCATAGGGGTGCGGTCAGGGCTCATTCCACCCATCTGAGGGCCCCGCTTCCCCCTGGGGTCCGCGTGGGCACCGGAGGCCGGGGGGCCCCACAAAAAGAAGGCGAGGAACCCGGGGACACCTGAGTTGCGTGTCCCACCGCTGGAAAGACCTCCGGCCCATCAGCGCTCTCAAGGGTCCAAACACAGCCACAAAAGCCCCCCAGGAGGGAGCGACAATGTGGCTTTCCCAAGCGTTTCCCAGGCAACGGGGCCGGGAGACGGTTCCGTAAACTCCCGAGGGGCTGAGAGGGCGCAGAACGGGCCGGGCGGGGCTGTACGCTCCAGGGTTACACGCAGGTGACCCTGCCGCACGCTGACATGGCGAGGACCCCAGGCCCTGCCGTAGTGGCGAATCCATTGCAATGGACAGGGACGGGCTCACCTCCAAACGCAGCGGCGGGACCCCTTCCCTGCCGCCGAGCAGCACGAGGTCAGCTAAGAGGGCACCTGAGGGGGGGCAGGGGATGTTCTTGCCAAACTGACCTGACGGGGCTCTTGCTGAAGGCAGGCGGGCAGATATTAACAGTCGTGGGGAGGACGGCAGGCGTGGCTCAGTGGCTGAGCACTGACCCATGAACCAGGAGGTCAGGGTTCGATTCCCGGTCAGGGCACAGGCCTGGGTTGTGGGCTCCATCCCCAGTGGGGGGCGTACAGGAGGCAGCCGATCCATGATCTTCTCTCGTGATGGATGTTCCTATCTCTCCCTCTCCCTTCCTCTCTGAAATCCATAAAAATGTATTTTTAAAAACAGACCCTCAGCAGCACAGTATTGTAACCCAACGTGGTGGGTGCAGGGAAGAAGAGAGGCACGCGGGGTGGGTGGGGGCGGGTGCACCCCCCTCCCCCC